AAACTTTACACAGCTAATGAATAGAGTTATCAATAATTGTTTTACCCAAAAGTCCCCAAAGTGGTAAACACCACCTTGGCCATTCTTGAAGGCAATAACTGCCCTTTTTATCCATCCATGTACAGGGTCCGCCATATTTATGGCAACGCATGTTTTTTGTTATTTCTCAATGAAACAAACAGGTGCATTGTTTTTTTTATTGGATGAGCTAGTGGCCAAGAATTACCTAAAGAATTCTCAGACATGTTGATTCAATATGACCACCCTTATTTTAATGATGGCCTCCAAGCTACGCGGGAAAGCTTCACAGGAGGCACGCAGCATTTCTTGAGGGATTAAGTCCCAATTTCGTGTCAATTTAAACTTCAAACTATCCAAAGAATCAGGTGTTTTGCAGACCCTACTCTCTAAAATAACCCACACAGAAAAGTCGAAAGGATTCAAATCAGGGCTTCTTGAGGGCCATTCATTTTTGCTAATGAACGCTGGAATGTGACCCTGAATCCAGTTTTGGGTCATGTTTGAGCCACGTGATGGGGCAGAGTCTTGTTGAAAACTCCATGGTGAGTCGTTGAAGTGTTTACGGGCCCAAGGTAACAACACAGCTTCCAAAATGTCCGAAATGTATCGCTGACTGTTCAATTTCACTCCCGAGGGGACAAAAACGAGTCGGGATCTTACTGTTATTGTTAGTAGGCTAATTGCAACATCATAAATAACATTTTAAAAAGACAAAAAAGCTGAAAAAAATTAATAATTAAAAGAAAAAAATCATGAAGAAATCAATAAATTATTGATTTTTGATTTTTGATTTATTTTTTTTAAATAAAAAAAATCACCAACCCTGCTAGCAATCAGCTAGAGAATCAGTGTGGTGTGAGCTTTCTCTAAAAAGCAGGGATAGCCTCCTTATAGGCGTCCTGTATAGATCACCTAACAGTTCCTCTGAAAACGCTAAAGTAATGAACAGTCTTCAACCGAGCATGACTGTCAGCAGGTCGCATACGTTTATCGTTGGGGACTTTAACCATCCAGAAATTGACTGGGCAGATGAATCCTCTCCAAGGGATGAGAATCACCCTTCATCCTTGTTCATAGAGTCTGTGAGAGACTCATTTCTATTCCAGCACATCACAAGGCCAACCTATTTTAGAGGTAATCAGACTCCAAATATTCTAGACCTAGTGTTTACTAGTGAAGAATCAATGGTAGAAGAGCTTCGCCACGAGGCTCCGTTGGGCAAAAGTCACCACCAGTCATTGTTTTTCAGTATTAAGTGCTATACAGAAAAAACGCCTCGGAAGCGTGAATGATTATTCAGCTTTGCGAAAGGCGACTATGTTAAACTTCGTGAATCAGTGAGTGCAGCGAACATTTCGGACTGCATTATGAACATGAATGTGGCGGAGTCGTGGTCATTCATCAAAAACATGGTTATGTCTGCACTTGATGTGTGTGTACCTATAGATAAAGCTCGGTGGAGTCAGAAAACACAGTGGATGAATAATACGGTTAAAGTAAAGGCAAAGGAAGACGCCCACAAGCGTTGTTTACAAACTCTTAGCGATGCTGAGTGGAACCTGTGCGCAAGAGCTCGAAGTCAAGCAAAAAAAGCATTTTGCACTGCAGTAAAAAATTTGAAAAAGATGCTGCCAAAAGCTCAAAAAAGAACCCGAAAGCCTTCTTTTTGTATGCTAGTTCTAAGTGTAAGACAAGGGACGGTATTGCTGATTTGAATGTAAATCAACGAAAGATATCTTCTGATGTGGGCAATGCCAATGTTCTAAATCAGTTTTTTAGCAGCGTCTTCCATATGAGGACTTGCACAGTATTCCAGCTATTGAGGCGCGACCAATGGGCTCGAAGTTAACTAGTTTTGAGAAACATGAAGAGGAGGTTCTCAAGCGCCTGGTCCCCCAAGTCATAGCTGGATCAGACGGTTTCCACCCTAGATTACTCAACGAATTAGCAACCGTCCTGGCCGGCCCTTTAAGAGGGGGAGGGGTATACCGTCCAGAAAAACTTCCACATTTACTAACGGATCTTTCTGAAACTTCACACATATATGTAAAACCAAAATACAAGAACATTTTGTACGGATAATTTTTTCGGAAAAATTGATAGAAAACGTGAAATTCGTAGAAAACGGACAAAATAGGGGGTACTGTATCAATCTATCTCCTCCTAGGGTTTTCAAGCTACAACATTGAGACGAATATCATTCGATGCGTAAAAACCATACCAATCGAGTAACGAAGCCCGATTTTTTATTTTGCCTCAGTTTTTTTTACACGCATTTTTCCGTTTTCTTTTCATTTCCTTCAAATTTCCCCCCTCCCCTCATTTTGAATCCAAACTATGCACAAATCGAAAAGGGCTTCGTTACTCGATAGGTATGGTTTTTACGAATCGAATGGTATAGGCCTCATTGCTGTAGCTTTAAAACTCTAGGAGGAGATAGGTTTTCCGTGACAATAACTGTGAATGTTCAGGAGAGCGCGATAAAGTCCCGCCCGCATCGCAATAGGCACTCAATGTTGCAAGGATACGAAACTAAACGTTTCTGGAGCTTGATTCCACTCAAGGATGGTGGGAGCGACTACATGCGCACCTCCTCATACTACGCCAGGCGGGTTACTAAGCTGCACCTCAAGCAAACACTGTATTTATAGTGCTGGCAGCGAATTAGTTCCTATCTAATTTGTTAAAGAACTCCCCCACCCGCCCCCCTCTCATGATCTGTCGTGAAAGCATAAACCAACGCACAGAGATTGCAATGGTACCGTTGGATAGGGCAGAATGTCAGCTTTATGAAGAGACTAAAAACCGGAAAAGCCAAATCCGAAAATGTTAGGGTATACCCTCCCCTTAACAGTATTATTTCGAAAAACCTTAATCGAAAAGACTTTGCCGGCCGACTGGAAGGAAGCCCAAGTGCCAACCCTGTTCAAAAACAGTGACAGAAGTAACCCCGGTAATTACCGTCCCATCAGTCTCACAAGTGTTTTGTGTAAGGTGATGGAAACGGTTGTGAGGGATAGGATTATCGACCACTTGACTGTAAACCATCTTCTATCAGACTGTCAGCATGGCTTTAAAGCTGGCAGATCATGCACCACTAATCTCCTGTCTACCTTGAATAATTGGACTCGCCTGCTGGACGAAAAGGTGCCAGTGGATGCAGTGTACCTCGATTTTGCCAAGGCATTTGATAAGTGTTCCGCATGAGCGACTGTTAGGTAAAGTTAATTCTTTGGGAATCGAGGGGAATGTACTCCAATAGTTCAGGAGTTTCCCAGTAGGCAGAAGACAACGTGTCAGCATAAACGGTACCGTATCAGACTGTGAAACTGCGCAGAAGACAACGTGTCAACATTAACGATACCGTATCAGACTGTGAAACTGTGCGCAGTGGCGTACCGCAAGGAAGCATTCTTGGGCCTGTTTTGTCTGTCGCTCTTATAAACGATCTACCAGAAGTGGCTTCAAGCGTGTGTTCCATGCATGCCGATGACACAAAAGTTTATAATACAGTTAAGGATGCGTCAAATAAATGCAATTGCAAAATGATCTTGATAGTTTAGTTGACTGGATCGATGCGTGTCAGGCGCGTTTCAATGCTGACAAGTGCAAAGTACTTCACCTCGGCAAGAACAATGAACAGCAAGCTTACAGCATGAGAAGACACGGTTGCAACGAGAGGGTTATGATTGAGAAGACTTGCGTGGAAAAAGATCTTAGAGTTTGTGTCGACAAGGAGATAAAAATTTCTAGGCATACTGAAACGCAAGTTAATAAATCCAATAAACTGTTTGGGGCTGATCAGACGCTCCCACCAGTACCTAGATGTAGAAATGATGAAGCTGTTGTTCACCTCTGTCGTGCGCCCGAACCTAGAGTTTGAGAACGTTGTGTGGTCACCGAGACTTGAAAAGGACAAAACTTTAGTAGAGAGTCTTCAAAGACGTGCAACAAGGATAATTCCTGGCTTAAAGCTAGGGCAAGTCCTATGAAGAAAGATTGAAGATTATGAAGCTTCCCAGTCTCCGTTATCGTCGCCATTGAAGTAGACATGTATACTCATGGTTTGCGCAAGGTCACAGAAGGATTACTAGAATTTGAAACATGAACCAACATCAGGGGCCACGGCTATAAGCTAAAAAAATGCGGTACAACTCGTTCATGCGACAACACTTCTCTCTTCGAGTCACCGACATGTGGAACAGCCTCCCTGAAGATATTGTTGACGCTCCGAGTACGAACGTGTTTAAGAACCGGCTAGACAAGGCCATGCAGGAGCATATGTTAAGTCTTGAAATGCCTCGTGTCCTACAGAATAACTGAAATCTTGAAACGATTTTAAACCTACCGTGTGTTGAAAAGATTTGATCAAAGGGCCAGTCTAGTCAAGAAAAATACAAGAATCGCCGACAGGCCTAGCTATGCAGACCTATTCTTCAATGCCGAAGATACGTTTAATCGTTTTCTATCAATTCAGGATTCAATATTTAGTTTTAATTTATTAAAACCAGTATGTACATTCAAGCAGAATTTCTGCGACATCTTAACAAATTTCACAAAAATTGTTTACTTTAAACTGTAAAGAGTAACTTTTTTTAATGTGGTAACTAACACTCTGTCATCTCTATCAATTCTATATTACAATTTACTTTGAAGTATTAATATAATCCCCGGAATTACTTAGAGAACTTTGTGCAAAGTTTAATCTTGACATCTTTTCTGTTAATTACATACCAGTTGTCTTAAACATAATTTGTACCAAGAGTTTTCGTTTTGTGCATTATAACCTTTAAAACTTTGGTCTAGAAATTAGCTTGCGATGTCAGTTATGTCGTCGAGTGTCGTCGAGTCAGTTATGTCGAGTATGTCAGAAAACTAAATGAAAACGAAGAATATTATGTCTTTCAACTCCAGTGAAATAAAATTAAGTAACATATAAAAGAGATTACATTAAAAAAATCAATGGAATGAAGTGCGTTCAAGTTAATTACTTGAACAGATTTCGTCTATGTAACAACAGATTTCATACTGTTCATGTCGGTATTACTAGGCAAAAAGTCATCTTATAGATAAGTATAATGATCGCTGTAAACTTATCGCTAAACTAAACCAGTTTCTTGGTGAAAGCTGAATTTTGACCGAGGGCATATTTCTTCAGAACTTCTGTACTCCGACTAATCAATAGCCAGCTAACCTTGATCAGGGAATCGTTTCTACGGAGTTTAATGCAGGACAAACTTAATGAATTATATACACAATAGAATGGGAGTTGTAGAAAACGAAATCTACCGGCGAGTTGATATTTCAGATGGGATGAATTCAGATTTATAGAGGGATGATATTGAGCAGAAAATGGTGATGTTGGTCTAACAGAAACGTGAGCTCTAAGCTTTTCCTAGCATTCGCCATCTGAGTCTGAAATCAGCGGCTTCCCCGGATCAATATTCGGCAATGAATTGTGACTCCGCATATCTGATTTGTTTAAAATCCGACTGATGGTGTGCGCATCCATGCAATTTACTCGCAAAACAATGAAATAATCCATCATTAATGTTCCAATAATGGCTAACGCAATATTGACGGCAAATAGCGTTGTTACCAGCGCCATTTGTGGTCGGCTGTTGTCATCCCAAGTTGGCATGAACGATGGAGGGTACAAGATGAAGCCTCCCGTGCAGAACCACTGGCCCTGTAAATGCACGAATGGTTATAGTGTTGAGGGCGTTCATGCCGACAGATTGTGTGTATATACGAAGTTTTTTGATTTAAAAGACAGACATAATTATTGGTCTTTATTAGATGAAACTTGAAGCTGTGTAACCGAAATTTTAAAGTTTTTTCATAGACCTTGAGACGAAACCTGCTATTATACGGCGCCTGCGGCAATTTAGGAAGTTATTAGTAGAAATAATAACATGGCTGAAGAACGGGATCAAATTTTGAGCTTTTCGTATGCAAGATTAACGCTTAGCGTGCATTTGCGAGGGTCAGATACTAAAATATAGCTCAATGATCAAAAGTGAACTTGAAGTGTGAAGATTGACGAACAAGAAGATTAAAGTTTGACAATTTTGCAGTGTGTGGATGTTGCATGTTTATCACGTGTTTTTACAAGTTATTCTCAGTTTTACCTGCACTAAGAAGCTTGAAGCTCTTCCAAGGCTGACTAAAACATTGCGCCGCGCAGCCATCTCCAGCACCAGAAAACCGGCCGTGACCATACAAGTATACACCAACAACATGTGTATCTATGAGAAATTTCACACAAACGTCTTTATTCTAAAACAGGCGAGATTTGTGGTAATATCAAGCTATTGCAGCTCATAAGTTTGTTCAAAGCATAAAGAACAGTTTAGCATGCGCGTCAAAACCGCGCAATGACCCTGGAAAAATTTAAGGGGTCACGGGTAAAAGATGAGGGTAATGCGCAGAGAGAAAACAGGATTTATGAGGAGGAAATTTACCATTAATTACGTTTAACTAATTAACCTTGGCATTGATTGGTCCCCGACCATCAATGTGGCCCTGGAACAGCAGCGCCTCCACTATGAATGCGACGATCATAGCCGCGTAGTCCGAGTTAACAGGGATGGGATGCCTGATAAGATAATGATAAGTTCCATATTAAAATTAATTTATGATGGAGCAAAATCAACTCATTAATAACGTGAAGTTTGGAAGTAAAAGTATATAGTCGTTATATTGATCGAAATAGTTACCAGGTTCATCGTCACTTCAAGCAGACAGATAAAATACTTGTACAATTCAAGTGGACTAGAACAAGTGGATTCAAATGTCAGGTTTAGTAACTTCTCCCTTCTTGCTCAGCCAGTCTAGAATTGAAGCTACATAACGTCTTACCGATGTGCGTTGATGTGACTTTACTTGACACTTCTATTTTTTTAAATTTTCATTAATTTACAATTTCGGGAAACAACTGGTATGCATCATTCAATTTTACGTAATGATTCAAAGTATAGAATAAATTTTCTTCCGTGCTTTAAATTTTCGACTCGAAATTTACATTCTCATCAACTGTTCAATACTTTAGATTAGGACGACGCGATTTACTTGTAGCACATGAGGATATGGATGAAGGCAGCGAGCCCGTAGAAGAAATACATGCACATGTGATGCGTGTTGGCCACAACGAATTCGCCCCCTATGAATACCGCGATGAATTCACCTGCAAACAGACGGCTGTTTATGACCTTACTTTTTTATGATATTTTATATTTGAAATTTTGTTCAAAGAAATTTGTAATTTGTCGTAGATTATTTACGCAGCGGATCAATAACTGGCCTTATTTTAAGGCCGGTCCACACGCTCAGTTTATACAACAATAATATATGTCTGCGCAGTCTAAGTCGGAATGAAATCGTTGCAATTTTTAGAGCGTCCACACGGTGCCGACTTATCTGTGTAGTTTGCTCAGCTTTGCGTGATCTCGCGCATAACTCGATTTCGGTCAATTTTGGCATTGTGCCCAGTTAAAAAAATATAACTCAGTTCTCACTGCACTGAGTGACAGAGAGCGCATTTTCTCGTCGACGAAAACGTGATCGTCACGGACGGACTAACAGACGGACAGACAGACGGGACGGACAGACAGACGGACGGACTTGACGAGCACAATAGGACATTTTTCCCATAAATTAGAAAATGCGCTAAAAACATTTGATCATTTAGAAATTGTGAGGAATCAAAATACCAGAGAGAAGTGTCTTGTAGATGTCATCTTCTCCAGCTCCAGATGGAATCGATTTATTACTTTTTTCCCAGTTATTTTTGGTAAATACTCCTCAAATTATTCATTTTTCACAGCTGTTTCTCAGTTTGCGCTTTCATCGATTTCTTTGAATTTTTCTACTAAACTCTCATGTGTCTCCACCGTTTTTGTCCCTGTTCCTATAGTACTTCCATTTTTCTCGACAAATGCAAGGAAAACTGTCGTATAGAGCATTAAATTCCCGAGAACATTACCGAAGATCCGCCATTGTCGCCAGAATCATTGAAACTGAGCACAAATTAAATATGAAAACGGCGCTACCGTCAACACGTTCCGACTTATCTGCGCAGGTCATCGAAATCTATGCTCTGTAGCTCAGATATCGCTGCAACTGTGCAGTCTTCCCACGGGCTTCAAAATTGAGCAGTTTTCTCGTCCACACGCAACGTTTTATCTGCAAAGATTTGAACTGCGCAGACAAATCGTCGTGTAAAACTGAGCGTGTAGACCGGCCTAAAAACAGGCATTGAAGCAATGAACATCTCACATATCTCTGAACATTTGAAAAACATTAGCATCGATCATTCAATGTTTAGAATCGTGTATTTTTTATGGTCTTTTTCATTACAGCTTTGGACATTTTATCATCACTGGTGTACGCATCTTGAATTATTTATTTAAATTGAATACAATTAAATTGAACAATCAATAACTTGAGCTAGAAAAGCAGGAACAGAAACTAAAAATAAAAATTAATTTGAAAGCACCCTTACTCACCAATAAAACCGAGACTTGTGCAAGTAAGCATGAAGTATGCGTCCAGGGAAACGTTGGTGCAGTGACAAGCGTAATACGTCGAGAAGAGAGTGTTTTTGGTACTTGATTTATAACTTCCTTTGCCAAGCAGAATGGCTCCTCTCCTGGCAACGTGATACTTGTGAAGGATACTGTAGGTCCAAAACAAGCCGAAGAACATGAACAGCAAGCCCGGGATTACATGTCCGTGTAATGTCCCTGGATCCACCAGCATAGCTTCCAGGGCTGAATGACTCAAACCACCACGTCCAATTGCTTCAGGATGTGTGGCATTATTTGTGACTGGTCCTTTCCCAATACTGGGATCCATTGCACTAATAATTATATTGCTGAGGAAAACAAAGTAAATTTAGACTCGAGGATTTAAGTTCTTATGAGAAATTACGTTTTCACTGAGTAAAAGGTTTTTATGCGATTTCAGATTCGAAGGAACAGACAGAAGATAAACAGAAGATTCTAAGATAAACAGAAATGAACATAAAGTGTGACTTCTGTTGAAGTTAAATTAGATTGGTTTAAATTTTCAATGCTTGATATGTATATAAAATCATATAAATTTGTGAGATTCAATAATGCGACTCATAGGTTCGCCGGATAATTTTGCATTGGGATTCGTCAATTCAATTTGCTAATTAATGTACCAAAGATTGGTTACGTGTTCATTAAAGATGTTGTACGCATCAATAACTTATGACTACAATGCAGCTTGGCACGAGCAGTTTTAAATTGGTTGTGCCAAGGTTTTAGATATGATAATTTGCGTGCCATTCATTTTAGTTAGATTTGATTAAATAAAAAACTTCATACGTCAAATTTCAGGAATAAGTGCATGGGTATGCGGATGGACGTAGTTCCAGTTGCAACAAATTATAATTATAAAGAATTTATGTACATTTTTTTCCGTGACGCGTTTCATGTGACGAAAATTTCATTTCAATCGCCTGCAAACATTTCCTGAAAACAACAGCGCCTGAGTTACTGAGCACCTATTTTGTAAATTATTTGAAAAAATGTATGTCTATAGCTACGGACAACAAAAGGAAACTGAAAAGTGTATTTTCTTGCAATGAATGTCCCATTACGAGATTGGGCAGTTTGGCGGTAATTCTTTATTAATCAATTACGCATTGGACTGGAATGAAGATTCTGTTCTTAACATCATGACCTTCTCACCGATTTCGATAAGAAATGTTACAGAGAGCATCTTATATATGTTGTTTCCGAAAATAATTAACGCTCTATTACAAAATAAGAGGCGTCAGACTCATACACCTTCATAATAAATTATTGTAGTTAAATTACTGGTGTAAATGCCATCCCTCGAAGATGACGGCTGTGTTACTTCGATGAGAATTTTTTTTCATCTACTATCATCATTGAACATTAATTTTTTTCCCCGAAACGACATGGATTTAAACGAATGCCCTTGTGCACTTAACGTGAGCGCTCTTCATTTATGATAGGTAATTTTTAAGTCAAGTATAATAGGATCAAAAATTTTCAGCCAGTCAGGAATTTTTCGTTTGGGATATATAGTGCGTGCAGTCGCGACACAAACCGCATATATAGAAATGGTACCAAACTTTCAACCATTTAATGACAAACTGCTGTAATTCTGGAATAATTTCATGTGAGAAAATCTCTGCAAACCTAGCCCTTAATCGATGGATAAGAAAATCTCATATTCTTCTTTATTATCTGACGCTGCTGTCAGCCAATGAAATTCCGGGTGGTTTTACTTTTTATTTAAGATCATCTTGATTGATGGCAGAGCGAAAAACCGTTCATTGAATGAAGTTTGCCGTGCTTAATCAGGAGATGGTTAAATCACCTTTTCTAGTTGAAGCTGTTTAAAAGATGAAAATTTGAGGGACAAAATAATGAAATAGAAAAAAAATAGTTACACGTACGGTACTCTGCATCCAAGGTAATCGTATAACACAATGACTAACTGTCGCCAAATGCAAACAATTTGGGTTCAAAGAAAGAGAGCTTCGTAAACAGAAATGGTAACTCCTACAACATAAAAACGTTCGCTCCTTAATTTATTACTCACTCCTCCCTCAATCACTCTTAATTCCGCAACGATTAGAGCGAAGTGCGTTGTGGTGAAAATCGACTAATGTCCCGCTTCATTTTTAATTCAATAGAACTGATGAATTTTACAAATAGAGTTACTATTTTAGTTGATATGCCTGCTTTCGTGAGTATTTCCAGGAGTTCAGCTTCGAAATGTGAAATAAGCGAATATGCACGTTATCAAATTGTATAGAATAAATGTACCACTCAATTATCCGCTTACTGTCTTCTCATGAAAAATGAAAAACTGCATGAAAACGGTTTGTTAAAGTCAATATTCGAGCTCCGTCTACCACTGTGGCATTCAAGTAACTGCAAAGGAACTCTGCACAGCTTCTATGCGACAAAAAAAAAAAACGACGTTCAGACGATGCCCTTGAAATTTAATGTACGAGAAATGGGAGCTGGTGAGATGCAAGGAGGTGCCACCCTAGCACCTAGGGAAGCGGGTTAAAATCTAGGCTGATCATTAATTTCATTGTACAATTAACGATTATTTGAACATGATCATTCAAAATGTAGTTTTGAAGCAATATAGGAAGATTCTTATTAGGAGATTTATTGGTGAGAAATTCAGGCATGATTCCTACAGTGTACTATCTCTCTTTCTCACCTTGACCTGTTAGAATAAGATCTGTTGGGAAACTAAGCTCAACACGCCTTCACACAAAACATTTGTTGCTCTTGAATATTCCATTATTCAGTAAGTAAACTCATGTCAGTATTCCGGTCAAATTAAGATCTTAAAACAGTTTAAGTTTCGTCTCAACTCATATTCTAGATGTTCGGCGATACGTCCTTGAATTCGCAGTGCAGCAATTACGAGTATTTCTTCAACTACTGTGCAGATTTCAATGAAACTGCGGGCTGCGCACGCGATTTCTTCAAAATCTTCTACTCAAATTTAGCCTGTGTTAGACTTTTCATTTCTAATTTTTTCCAAGTTATACGGTTCAAACAATGAGTATTTTTATTTATTTATTAACCTCTTGTAAGTGGGAATATACCCAAGTTCGTGATCAAGAAATTTGAAATTAATTTCAGGACAATTCATCAATTTAATTGCATAAAACATATTTATCGATGCACTTCCGGAATAGCAGAAAGTTTATGAATGAGGTAAAAGTTGAAAAAAAAATCAATATCAATTAAAGCACAACTGCAGGATGGGACGATTCTGATGAGTCTGAGTGTAAAATTTCTTTCTGAGTGTAAAATTATTTCTCATATAGAGACTAAAATATCATGTTCCGCCTGTATAAAACCTTTATTGTTGAAAGACGTCTCTAAATATAACTTCAGGAGCAATGCTAAGCGTTGAATGGTTTTTGCGTACAAATTAGATAGTTCGGTCATTGATTGTTTCATTTTGGCATAGAGGAGAGTCGCCAATTTCTAGAAAAACCAATGACAAAATATTTAGAGGCAACATAACTCTAGAATAATAAGTACTCCGACCATGCATCATCGAATGGACACAATAATTAAACAAGAAATCACTAATGTGCTCTCAACATTTATCTCCCAAATTAAAATTCTCAGTTTCTAGCCGATTAAATTTGTATTGCAATTTCCAGCAATTAACAGCAATGCGATGTAACGACTATGTAGCAACCTGAGTTGAAATCTCTACTAATTTTCGGTGAACTTCCTAATTTAATTTTATTTATTAAATCTTCAGACTCGTTGATAACTAATTTCTGTAACTACTGTTAAGCTCATTTCCTAAATTTCCCCTTATTATTTGCTAATACTGTACGAGCAACCCACGGGAGCACAGCTGGTAGTGAAACACAATAAGTAGCACGGCACGTATACTGACAACGCGGATAGAGCAAGATCTGGATAACTTAGTCTGATCCCGATAAGACAGGTACTAAACGCGACGTATTGCTATAGTATACATCGGCTTCCGAAGGCACGTTAGGGTTCGGACGAGATTTGTGCACATCAACTCTACACAAATACCATTATTAAATGATTACCTAAAATTCAATCAGAAAATGCATTAATATCAATTCATAAAGTACCTACAAATGTCACTCCTTTTTTTTAACATTAAAAATTTTACTAAGATAAATAAAATACCTTATAATGTTGCCATCAGAAATCGAGATTTCGGTTTAGAGAACCGTAAGCCAGGCCGCGTTGTGCCAGAGCGTCATTTGTGTTTGTCGGTCATCGAGTGAGCAATTATAAAGAGGTCAGCAGCTAATCTCTATTATTAAATTCTGATAATTGTATTCACAGCTCATTAGTGGAACTTTATCAATACTAAATTACTTTAATATCAAAAATAATGTTTCCAATCCAGTCTTATACTGATAAAGTATTCCGGCTTCCAATGCCTGACAGGTGTTGGTCGGCCGAATCGGCTTCATTCACTCAATAAACTTTTAACTCAGTATCTTCACACTTTATTTTAAACCCCAACCTACATATTTACTCTAATTGATTAAAGGAAGAAATACACTCCCAACTACTTGATCTCAATCACTTAATACACATCAATTCCCCTCCCCTCCCAGCTGTTTATAATACTTCTATTGCCAGGCTTCAAACACTTCCACTAGCAAACTTTCTTAAACATCTTATTTATCGAGAAACTTTTAATTTCAAACACAAACTTAATCAGGAAGCTTAACGCTATTCTTGCCAACTGTAATGTTTCCCGCAAACGCTGTAAGCAAAGTGTTAATTCCGATAACTATTTGGTTGTTTTATTCAATTACACTCGTAGAAGAAAAGAAATTTTATACGAGTAGATCAAAATTGAATAAACATTTCTTTGTATGACTATGAAGCCACATGAAAATTCAACCATTATTAGGCAAAGATTGGACTCTTGTTAATCTGTAGTGATTGCTAGAGATATTATGGGATTCAAATTTATTTTTATACAGTTCTGTCTTAATTAAGTGCAAGCCACCTTGGGCCCGGTCGTTGCTAACGCAAATAGAGCAGAGCAAAATAAGAATAAATGTAATCAACATTGTAAGCCAGTTAATGACGGGCAGTCTTAATATCTATAAGATCTGATAATTTTGTAACAGTTTTAAGCTCTGGTAATAACAATTTCTTTCATTCTATAATTCACGGATACTTCTAAAACAAAGAGGGTATTTCAACCCAATTAAGCCACGGCAACACTGTCCGCTCGTACTCTGCTCTCGATTCTCGCAAGGCACGCTATTTGTTTTTTTTTCTCCTGTGTTTGGTATAAATTATTCA